TTGCATGTCAGATATTCACCCTGCTTGATTCAGTCAGAGAGAGAAGGAAATAGTAATATGCTTCAAGAATCTACCTTAGTGGTAGTTGAAAGTTGGAAGGTTATTTTCAGTCTACATAGGGCAAGAGAATGAAAAAGCAAATTATATTCATGTACTGCTGTACATAAACTGTGTGTTTACTTTGCATGTAATAACACTGTTACTTTATGAAACATTTGAAAAATGCTAAACTTGCAGGTTGAACATTGATGCAATTAGAACTGAAGTGATAAACAGTGTTCAATTTCTCCATCTTTATTTTAATGCTACTTATCATGCTGATAGTATTTATTTGAATGGTAGCTTTGAATGATAGCTTAAGTTATGGATATTTTAAAAGTAACTCAGGATCACTTTTTTTAATTGACGTATTAAGAATACAAAACCATTTTCAAGCAGAATGCTAATTCTTGAAGACTGTTCGTGAAGCCAGAGCCAGTTAGTTCCTAAGTAGTTTGAGCAAACCTTGTTTCTCTCATCTTCAACTGCCTACCAGAAAAAAAAAGATGCTGTTTTCCATCTGTGTTTATCAAGTCACTAATATCTTAGTATAACCTGGAGAAATAACTCAGTCAAAATTGTTAAGTATGTATCAGTTCTGCTACCTGACTTGGAACATCTGGTCCATAATGCTTAAAAAGCATGTCTAAAACATTTAATGGTCAGTGCCATTCTCCCTTAATGGGGGCATTCTGCAAATCAAGATATGTCATTTTGGGCACTAGAAAAACACAGACAAATGACAACACTTACAGAAAGTTTGGATTAAGTGAGATGTTGTGCACCACAAGACAATACTCAACTGCCGTAATCACCGTGCCATCTGTTCTCATCCTGGTGCCCCATATTTCACTAAGAACATGCCTCCCAACCCCTGCAACCAGTGAAAGATGGATCTTTTAAGAGCAGTAGCCTCGTTCAGTGCTCAGGGTTTGCTTCCTCAAGCAGCATGCCTTAGGGGGTGATTGCCCAGGAATGATTGAGTTAAACTGGGGTTCTTAAAGGGCAGAATATTTTTGTGCCCAGGCAGTTACCTGTCTCCCTTTATAAGATGTGATTTAACCATAATAATTAACATAAGTGTCTAATAGTGGACAGTGTAGGTGTTTTCATGTCTGAAATGGAAGACCTGGCGTGTCTGAAACTGTTCATTTTTCCCACTCATGACACCTGGTTTGTGAAATGACAGCACCACTCCTGCTCCCTTGCAACTGCAGCACTAGGATCATGGTTTAGTCATGCTATGACCTTTGCCAGTCATAGCAATAAATGTAAAATTAAATTTTCTTGAGCAGCTTTTTATGTCTGTGTTTGCCGCACTCTGTACATGTACCTTAGTATTTAGAACATGTTTTTGTTGGGAATGTAATGGTATTTAAGAAGCGTTTCTTTAAAGCGCAGTAAGGAGAAAGAAGATTTGAAGGTGTAAAAAACAGGTTTACTGATAATCTCTTTGAACTCTGTAACCAGATGAGGCAAGTCCTAAAAGCTTTTTTTGAGGTACAGTGTTGACTTTTTAGCCATCTAGGCATAAATCAGATTTTTTTTATATGATAGTATCAAATGCCATGTCACTGTAAATCCGCATTCTTAAGTAATACATCAATGAAGCCAAAGCATTTTAAAATCAATTCTGCTTAATAAAAAATTCTTTATGAGTAACTAGATGGACATTTTGGAAGAAAATAGCAGTGGCTGTTGAGTTACCTATTAGAGAAGACTAAAATCCTGTTTATAGAAATCTCCTGTGCATTTCTTAATTTAAGAAATAGGGTTATAAACTTTACTGATGAAGTTTACTTCTGTGCTGAGAGTCTCAGGATAGATAACACGACATATTCTACGTGTAGCATTTGGGAATACAACTGTATAAAGCATTGATGTTATTTCTTATCGTAAATAAGGAGGCATTGTCTTCTGTGTTTTTTTAGCAATAGCATGACCTAGAGGAAATGCACTCCGTGGCTGTCTCTGCTGATCATCCTGATTAGTTACCTAATCTGATTTACTCTTCTTTGTGTTCCATATGTTAGATTCAGGGCAATAAACCAGCACTGATGTACTAGGCCTGCTGTGGTTTAACAATTAAAAAATAATGCCTGATAAAACTAATAGACATGCAATGGGTGTCCCGTATTGAACTTGTTTAATCGTCTAATGTGAGCATTTGCTTTTGTTCATTTGTTCTTCTTCTCCCAGGCTTATACCTTAAGCTACCATTGCTATTTGCACACTGCTTTTTCATAATAAAGATATTGCTGATGTCTTCATGTATGTGGAAATTCTTCATTGGAAATGAGTTACTGGTTCAAAAGGCAATAATTACTAAATCCAGTATTACTAATATCCAGTGATGTCACTGTTCTTGGTTATTGTTTTCTCTCTTTCTGCTCTTAATCATTTGAAGATTACTTTCAGAATATGCCATTTTTAATATTCTGCATGTATTAAATCATACTCAGCTGAAACTAGTTGTATATGGAAGCTTTTATAGAATTTAAAATATGTAATCTGCTCTTTATTTCATTCCCTATTCTAGGCAGTAAACATCAGAAGACTTAATTTTGTATATATTTTTGGTCTCAAAATAGACTGACTTTACACATTAACTTTAATTTTAAAATGCCCTCAGTGGATTTAGACATCTGGGTTAAATCCTTCCTTTACTGCTTTTACAATCTTATTAATTTCAAAGGGGCTTTAAATGTGTAAATGAAGAATAAATATGACCTTTTGTTTTGAGAGACAAGCTTACAGGGCTGTACTATTTGTTAATCCTCTCAAAGCAGTCTTTACTGAGGCATCGTGTTCTAGTGGATTACTTGCATGAACAGAAAATGCTAGATCCACCTATCTCAAAACATGCGATATTTTAATGTTACTTTCAATTGTTCCTTACTTGTCCTTATTGAGAGGGTTCAATTGCTTTCTTGAGGGTTATCTAAAATCTTAAGATACTTCTTTTCAAAGTCTGAAAAAGTAAATTAGGATGTCTGAACAATATCTGTTAACACCTAACGTTATAACAGAGCGGTTATTTTAGTAAGTATGGTTGACCGAGTTATTTCTTTCAAAATTTCTTTTAGCATTATGAATGTTCTTACATAGACAAAATTTAGTTGATCTTAAATTGTTTTTGTAGTTAATAAGGAATGCCCAAAGTAAGATACACAGCTGTAACATGAAGGCGTTTTTGAGTAAGGGTTGATGTAGTGTTGCTAACCTTGTCCTCCTTAGTTACTGTAGCACATATGGTATAGAAGATCACCTACTGCTCTTAAACCATTTTCTAATACACCATATGTGCTGTAGTGCTCAGATGCAATGGACCGAATAAAGTGCTCTCAGTGTCCTTTTCTTTATTGCTGAAAAAGATAGAATGGTTTATTTTCTAGATGACTTAAATACTGTAAATAAAACAGCATATTAAAAGAATCTTAGGTTCATTTCATCAGACATGTAAAATGCAAAGATAGTTTCAGTGACTTAGCCAAGCACCAATGTCTGCTTCATGGGCACCCAGACAGCTGGGATGAATTCCTTCTTTCATGTTTACTGCCATAGACTATGTTTGCTTCCATATACTATTCAATTTGTAAACTACATTTTACACTTTCTAGCATTGATAAACAGGCTGCTGACTCTAAATACCATCCACAAAAAGCTACAGATAGGCCAGTATCCTACAGAAGGAAGAGGAGAGCTTCTGTGATTCTGTGATCACCCATGTTGCAGGTCCCTGCTGGCATGGAGATCACCAAGTAAAAATGCCCTGACTGAGAGAAATAGACTGTGTCTTGCTCCATATGAAAGCAAACAGCCAGAAAGATTATTTGAAGTTGTAAAAACCAGGTAAATCTGAGAAAAGGGCCACCAAAATAGCTGAAGCAAGGAGAGGCAGAAGGAAGTGGGCTTGTTTGGCTTAGAGTAGAGAAGGCATTAAGGAGTATCCTTCAGTTCTTGAGGACATTGCTGAGGAATACCGAGGATAGTGTTGAGAAGACAGAGCCAGACTCGTCATGGTGATGCATGGCAAGATGACAAGAGAGAGCAAAAAAATGGAAATGAAAGAGATTTGGGCTTGATGGAAAGAAAAGGACATAAGGACAGTTGAGCAGTAGAACAGGCTGCCCAGAGAGGTTGTGCAATCTCTCTATCCGTAGAGGTTTTCAAGATCCAAGTGGAGAAAGCCCTGAGCAACCTGGTCTGACCACACAGCTGACCTTGCTTTGAGCGGAGGATTGGACTAGGGACCTTGGGAGGTACATTTCCAGCCTGACTTATTCTATGATTCTATATTTGACCTGACATCAGTTTCACCTTCCTGGCTTTCTACAAGGCCAGGTATGTAAGGAATTTTCCACTGTCTTTAGGAGCAGAAGAGTAACCATCTGACTCTTTTTAAAAAAAAAAAAAAAAAAAAGACTAAAAGTCCTTAGAAGATTTTAAAGCAAATCTCTACTTTCCACCTTCCCTGTCTTTCTTTTTAAAGTCATTAATATGTACTGTGTTCATGTCAGCAGCTAACAAAAACACACAAAGATGTATTTTTTAATGTAGGAATTCTAAAGCCCGTAGGCTAAAAAACTAGTTACTTTTGAGATTTGCTGTTATCTTCCAGGTGTTTCATATTTGATTATTAAAATGGATAGCTCTTCGGTTTAAGAATCCTTTCATGTTAATATAAGATTTTTGCCAATGTGATCCAGCAGAAGAAAGCAAATGATATCTGAAAAAATGCTTATTATAAATATGCCTTCCTTCAGTAAAACATTGCTTGGCTCATAAACATGTGAAAAGTGGAAAAAATGCAATAAAATGGTGGAGATTTGGATATCTGTGCCACACAGGGAGTACTTGTACAAGACGTCACAGAATATTTTGATTTAATTTTATAGTTCTGTTTCTTTTTTTTTTCTTTTTATTATTTGGTATTTCCATTCCTTAATTTATATTTCCTCTCTTTTCAGGAGGCTGATTCTGAATACTCTGTGTTTCAGGTAAAATCATTTCTATAAATACAAATACTAGATTAAATGATTAGGAAAAATTTCTAATACATTGAATGCCTATTTCATTTTTTAAATTCTTAATATCATAAATTTTATTTTAGAAGTTTTTTTTTTAATTCGCAGCTTTATTGTTTTCTGAAAGTATATTTCTCTCTGTATTTCTTTTCTTTTATTCAGCAGTTAAGCAATAGCTTGGTGCCTTCTAAAAGCTAAATTGAATCTATCGTGAACTGAATGACCTTCATCTGCTGATAAGATTAGGAAAAAGCCAACATGTATTTCACAGATACAACAGCCTCAATGCTCTTAGAGCTCTGTTTTATGTTTCATTTAATTGAATACATAAAAATTATAGTCTTATTTCTTGTGGGTCCTGTATTTAGTAGATAAGAATTTTGAATTGCTTGTTTGTCTCCCCAAGTAGAGGTCATCTATCTATGCTTTAAATAGCATTTGACATTTTTCTCTTTCTTGCAGTTTTGATCAGAAAACCTGTAAAAATATTGCCACAAGCAGTGCTTTAGTCTACAGACTGATATTTAATTAAGGAATAACATGAGATATTTAAGGTGGTTGTTGTCTGATAAGTCACAAACTAGGAATTTAAAACAGGAAGAGTGGCCAAAGGAACCTTTTTTTTTTTTTTTTGACATTCATGTGTCTTATGATGGCGAGGAGAAATATTGCTTTTAAAAACATCAGGTTCTCTGATGTTTGTTATAGGAAAAATCACAGTGATTTGCCTATATCTATACTAAGATCTGCCTCCAATTTTAGCAAGTAGCATAGAGAAACTGCAATTTCCGTAAAGGAAACATTACTACATGGGCAGCTACTGTGTTTGGCTTTTGAAGTCTCTAATTTCAGCATATTCACAGTATAGACAATGAGTATGTTTATTTCAGGCATTCTTCAGTCTCTATAAAAAAAAAAACAATACATTTAGTGCGGGAGTGTTAAGGAATTCAACAAACTGAATACTTGGAGTGATGAAAATAATTTAAGGATGGTGAACATTTAACTATAAAAATCTCAATGCTAATTAAAGGTTGTCACCTAACTACATAAGAAGAAACTAAAAGATAATAAAGCAGATCTGGATTATGTCTGTCTGACCTAGATTCAAATGATCTGCCTTCTTCATTTCTCCTCTTATTGAAACAAAGATGTCTAGTTGTGAAGTACTAAATTCCTCCTATATTTCTGATTGGAAACCATTTTTAAGGCAATGAGTCATATCTTCAATTTTAGGTAAACTTGCTTTTGGTAAACAGTTATAAAATTGTGTAGAGATATTATATGAGGTAAATGTAGTGAAAGATACAGTTTAAAAAGTGCTGAATGAGAAATGCTCCTCTTAAATGATGGCTTATGTTTTGAAAAGTCTGAATTCCAGATCTTCTTGTGCCACTTAGTTAATGAGCAAACATTTCTGTGTTTGACCTTCAGTTCCAGAAGTAGCATATTCTGTCTCTCATTTGAAATGTCTCCTTAGCAAATACTAAACATGCTTTTCCACTGGCCTGCTGTATCGCATGTCAGAAAAGAAACAAATCTGATTATTTTGGTAATGAGTTTAATCTGGAAAAATTATGGTGATCTGTTCAATGTCTGAAAGAAGTTCAATGATTGATTTTTGTGGCTCATGCCAGCTTTATGAGTACGTTGCAGGTCTATTAAGTTATCAATAAAGTAGTTGATTCTGCACTGAGATTGTTGTACAGAGATATGACTACTACTTTTTTTTCCCTCCATGTTTATTTGCTGTTTGTACAGTGTGCAAGAAGCTTGTCACATAGGCTAGGATTCTGTTTGCTTTTCAGCACTGCTCTCATAATCCTCCAAGACATTTACTTTAGCCATTTGTCAGTTCAGTTCACCAACAACTTCAGCACTTCAGTAATCTTACAGTCTGTTACAGAGGTTTAATCTGTACATTTACATATTTTTACAGCTGATTCTTTGAAACGAGGAGTTTTGGATTATTCTCTTAAAGACTCTCCACTGTGGATGCTTGATAATGCTGTAGATAATACCTTCAGCTCTTGGATGTTAGATTTTCTTTCTTTCTCTGCTGCTTGGGAAGGGCATTATTTTGCATTACAGTCCAAAACCTCTTCTGCCATCTCAGTTTGCCTAAGATACCTGTCACCTGTTTGTGAATGGTAGTCATGACTAGGGATGTCTTCAAAAGCACAAGACCTCAAACAGTTGCCTGTGACCTAAATAAGTTGTAACTTTTCATGAGGCATGAAGTTCTGTCCTCCAAACTCCATGACTGTTATCTGTTCCATTTTGAAAGAGCTGTCCGACATCCTCTGCACAACCCCATTCCTCTTCTGTCAGGTGGGCAGGCAGGGAACTGCCGGTACAAGTGCCTTGACTGACAAGCTAAATCATCTGCTGGGTCTTCTTGGGTACATGGTTTCCCCATGCACTTTTTCGAATGTGTACGTTGGGCCATGCCCCAGGCTGCACTTGTTACCCTACCTGTCAGGCAACTCTCATTGTAGAAGTGGCATTTGGTCCAACACATATTTAGGTATACTCAGTTGTTTAAATCAGTAGCTTACCCAAACCTACTAAAACTATGAAGAGAATAGTAATTTTTTTAAAAGGGGCCAAAATGCTAGTTAGGTTATTCAATTTGGTCTCTTAAAAGTATTTGTCTTTTTTGCTTTATTCTTATTCAGGCTGCGTGGAGCCTAAAAACACGAGCTTTAACAGAGATGGTGTATGTGGATGAAATCGAAGTGGATCAGGAAGGAATAGCAGAGATGATGCTTGATGAAAATGCTGTTGCTCAAGTTGCACGTAAGAACAACTTTCACTTAAACACACTGAAGCAGCAGAAACTCTTTGAGCCGTTATTGTCATCTAGCATAAAATAGCATGGATTGAACTGACCCGTTCAACCCTTTTCTTATTGTTGCAACATGTGTTTTAGATTGTTTTTATGTTACATGGTAAAATTGAGATATGCCATGTAGTACTTTGGACTACTAGCCAGGAGATTGGACAAATAGCATTTTGCCAGTTTTCCTTTACATCTTTGTACTTGTTAG